TTAAATATTTACTCCATTGTCCGATCCGTAGCTTCATCTTTAGGACGACCGGCTTTAGCTTTAGTGAAGGGTTTCAAGAAAGAAATATAGCAATCATGATGATACTCGGCTTCAACTGCAAATAAATCATTTTCAAATTCGACTCGAGCAAGAATAGTTTTTGCTGCAGCGTCGTCACGAATCCTAGCTACTTTTAGAACTGAATCTTTAAAGTCAAATGTGCTTACTTGGCTGATTCGACGGCGAAAACCTAAGGATTTTTTCACATATTCTTCATTCAATTCCACACAGACACGTCATCTAGTACGAGGTGGACTTGGTGTAGATGTACTGGCTTCTTGTTCTTCACGTTTTTCTTATTAGCGGCAGGAATAGAAAACTTTCTAGTATAATTTTTACGGAAACTTTCATGTATTGTCAAAGATTTCCGATTTTTAAGATGATCCGAAAATTCATCGGCTCTTTCGATACTTGCATTAATTAATGTCTTCATACCCCTTAAACAGTAGTAACCTCACTTTCAACTAATAGTTTAGCACAAATAAAACAACATTCAGACATTTTTATTATCAAACTCAAACAGCACGATATAGGTTAGAATAACAGAGCATAGTTTTCAAGACTGACGGTCTTTCATTTGTCATAGCAGGTATAAGATAGCCTGAATACTGTTGAGACAGATGTTCTCTGAGGGTCACTGTCGTATAACTTAAGGGACTGGGTTTCTTTCTACCTGATATTCTTATAACTATAGCTTATGTATTGTATATCTTATATTTTAAGAATAAGTTATAATAATCGATAGATCAATAACTCAAACCTCGTTAACTTAAAAACCTCTATAACTTCAAACATACCGTTTTTCTGAAAATCACCAAAAATCGCAATCATATCAAAAATCATATTATATTTTAAACGATCTCACCAATTTTCAGCTTAATATGAATTTATGTAACTTCACTCTCATTTTTTGGTCTAATTTGACCTGACTAGAGGCACCGTTATTATGAAAATAGCCCCACTGAATTTTATTAAGAAAGTTTACATATTGGCCGATATATGCGGTTTAAGTCAGCCGGAAGTTCGAAAATGTTTCTATTAGATAAACGGGGGATAAGAGAGGTATTGACCCGATTCCACCCATGTTTGACATAGTTAATAATAAATATAATAATTTTATCAAGAAATGATTTACTCCAAATTCCAATAATGTATTTCATACATTGAACGATAATTTCAGTAAAAAGGTCCACATCTTCGGTATATGGGGGGTTGAATAGTTATGGCCCAAATTTGAAGATTTTTATACTTAAAACGACATATCTTGAAGGCAATCTTTTTGTCGGTAGGAGTGGTTAAAATATTTGTCCTGAGTGAATTTGGTTATTATTGCTTTAGTGGTTTACGAGATATGAACATTAAACCTATTAATTAAGGGCAGTTGTTGGGCGTGGCAGTGGTCCGATTACGCCCATCTACAAAACCAATCTTCTTACGGTGCCAAGAAACATGTGTACCAAGTTCCATAAAAAATATCTCAATTTTTGCTCAAGTTACAGCTTGCACAAAGCGGACAGACAAACAGTCTCCTGGATTTCGACTCGTCTCGTCATCCTGATCATTTATATATATATATATAAGGTTGTCAAATATCTCCCCGCTTTTTTGTCTTTTGAATTTCGCGGCTATGTACAAAGCGCTACAGAGCTCGTATCTGGCAACACGATACATAATTTGAAAGGTCTTGACATAACCTACAAAACAACGCTATGCATGATTAGTTTGGATATTGCGTTCAACAGTTATAGACGTGTAAACATGGAGTTCACTAACGCCGAAATTCGCGCTATTTTAAAGTTTTTCTTCGTTAAAGGCAAAGCCGCTAGAGAAACGTTCCGTGAGATTAATGGTGTTTTGGGGGATGGTACTCTATCACTTCGAACCGCGGAGGAATGGTTTCGACGATTCAGAGCCGGTGAAAACGACACCATGGATAAGCCAGCCGGCGGAAGACCTGTGACGACAAATACCGATCAAATCATGGAATACATTGAGTTAGACCGGCATATGGCATCTCGTGACATCGCCCAGGAGATGGGAGTTAGTCACCAAACCATTTTGAACCATCTGCAGAAGGCTGGATACAAAAAAAAGTTTGATGTTTGGGTGCCGCATAATTTGACGATATGCTGCTGAAACGGAACGAACTCGTCCCATTCTTGAAGCGGATGGTGACTGGCGACGAAAAATGGATCACATACGACAATATCAAGCGAAAACGGTCGTGGTCGAAGGCCGGTGAATCGTCCCAAACAGTGGCCAAGCCGGGATTGACGGCCAGGAAGGTTTTGCTGTGTGTTTGGTGGGATTGGAAGGAAATCATCCACTATGAGCTGCTCCCATATGGCCAGACGCTTAATTCTACCATCTACTGCGAACAACTATACCGCTTGAAGCAGGCGATCAACCAGAAGCGTCCAGAATTGGCCAACAGGAAGGGTGTAGTGTTCCACCAGGACAACGCCAGACCACACACTTCGTTGATGACTCGTCAGAAGCTACGGGAGCTCGGATGGGAGGTTTTATCGCATCCACCATATAGCCCGGACGTAGCGCCAAGTGATTACCACCTGTTCCTGTCCATGGCGAATGCCCTTGGTGGTGTGAAGTTGAACTCAAAAGACGCTTGTGAAAAGTGGCTGTCCGAATTCTTCGCAAATAAGGAGGGGGGCTTCTACGAGGAAGGTATTATGAAGTTGCCGTCTAGATGGAAACAGATCATCGAACAAAACGGCGCATATTTTAACTAAATCCGATCACTGTAACACTTTTTATAAAGCATTGAATGAAGAGCAAAAAAGCGGAAGGGAGATATTTGACAACCATATATATGTATGTATAGATATATATGTGACCCTATATCTCGACTATGTTTAGGTGATACAAACAATCGTTAGGTGAACAAAACTATTCTACTCTGTAGCAACATGTTGTAAGAGTATAAAAATCAACTCAAACGATGCTTGATTAGTAACACACTATTTCAGAACAAGAAGAACAGACAATTCACGAAGAAACACTTAACAATTATACCTAAGTTCTTGATAATGGCGACCAGAAACAATAATTGCCTTAATTTTTCTTTAACGGAAAATACGATCCACCAGACTCTCTTTTGGGCTAAAAAATGCATTTTCCGGATTTCAAGTGTTGTGGCCATGAAAGCGTTTGAACAGCTAAAAACGCATAATACTACAATATCCCGACTTCAATGAAGAATTTATACTAGCCACCAACGCTTCTGATCATGCAATAAGAGCACTGCTCTCGCAAGTTGACAGACCATTTGTTTTTATGTATATCGAGAACTGTACCGAAAACTGAAGAAGGCTATGAAACAGCGAAAAATAAAACGTGAGGCTATATACTGGGCTATAAAAAAGGTGATCTATATGGGTGTTCAAAAGTAAAAAATTACACAGACCACGAAACAAAGGTACCAAGACGAAATGGTTTTACAGACTAGGCCTATAAAGTAACACAAGAAAATAAAATGGAGACACTTTATTTTCTGAAAATGCGAAAAAGAACAGCAACATTGGTGAAGCATTGACAAATATGCAAAGAAAAAATATGATAGGTATCCTCCAAATCTAGCAATTGCAACACCAATTATACCAGCGTAGATAACTATTAAAAACAAAAAAGATCACAGAGGAATGAAACCCATCGGAAACGAAAGATGAAATAACAAACATTAAGGGAACAAGTAAGGAAGGGCTAAGTTTGGGTGTAACCGAACATTTCATACTGTTGCAACTTGCAAGGATCAAAGCCGGGTAAATACTTTCAGGTGTTTGCAAAACTTTATATTAAGAAATGTAGCGAAAAGGTTTAACTTAATTGTTCGACGAATTGGTGAATGGATTACAATCAAATTACCATATTAGCATGTTTTGAGGGTCACATAGTTTTATTACTATATTTTACTGCCCGTCAACGAAAGTCATACTAAAATTATTAGGGGCATAGGAATGGAAGGGCTGATTGCATTAACTTTTGACATTGCTCAAGTATACTTGAGAACTCATTTTCAAGCAATTTTATAAATATATAAATATAAACATATATGTACATATATAGAGTAAAGTCAGCCGGACGCCGGATTCAAAATCATGAATATCAGTTATATGGGGGCACACAAAATACGCTTTCTCATTTTTACTCAAATTATTAACACATTGGCCGATATATACGGTATAAAGTTAACTGGAAGTTCGAAAATCTTTAAATTGGGTGTACCTGAAATAGCATACCTTAATGAAAATACTCGCTGAAATTTATATTCCGATATATTGTATTTAATGCTTGATTTGTATACTGGAAAGTGAAAAAATCAGATAGAATTTAAAGTTGTGTTATATAGAAAGTAGGCTTGGTTACTGCCTGATATCGCCCATTTTCGCACTCGTAATCGTATGTACAAAATTTGGTTGAAATAGGTGTAAGAGGTTCGGGGATACGTGATTTTACCTAAATGTGGGCGGTTCCACGCCCATTGTCAAATGTTCCTATTAATAATGTGTCCTTGTGTCGAAAATGGGTAAAATCAGGTCAACAGTTCCCCTAGCCCCAGATATAAAAAATTTCGAATATCCAGCTGACTTTATACCGCATATGTCGGTTAATATGTGAGCTATCTTAATTAAATTCAAATAGAGTATTTTTATGACAACTGTGTTATGCCGGGGTATAATTGGGTCAATTCTTCGGCTTCCAGTTGACAATATGTGCAATATTTAAGATTTATTAGGTGTTTTCTTAACCGCTAGCTGAATATATTCATATAAAATTAGTCTAAACCCCAACCCCTAATACAAAGGTTTATATTTCATAAAATGATAACATATCTTAATTAAATTCAGCGATAATATATTAATTAGCATTATGTCATTTAGTAATATAAATGTATGTAGTCTCCCACAAATGAAGAATACATAGTTTTGTGTTAGTTAAATTGATTTTAATATAAATGAATCAGACTAAGTGGTTATAAATATAAGTTTAAGTAAGATACCAAATATGATTGTGATCCAGTCGAATAATGAATATTAAATTCTTTCGCAACATTTGTTAATATGTATAAAGTTTAGTCAACGCCTGAAGATATGCCCCGGCTTTGATATTTGAAGATTGCGAGAGTAGATATAAAATGTTCGAGAACAACCGATCTTAGCTCTTCCTTACTTGGTTAGAAATAAGAATGTTTTATTTCCGAAAAAGCAAATAAGGACAGATATAGAATAAATTAATGATTTGTTAAAAATTATGTAAGAATGAATGTTTTTTCATATATCCAAAGATATTTAAATGGGCCAGTACTCGTATATTTTATTTTAAAAGTAAAAATGTATGATGTAAATTCATTAGTCTTTAAAAAGTGTAAATTATATGAAAAGTTATTGTTTTATAAGCATAATTGTGGGTGGGACATACAATTATTCGAATTAAACAATTCTAATGATTTCTTTTATCCCTTCGAAATATTGAAATATGATATTATCGAACTGTTTTCGATATCAAACTCATCATACCTAGAAACGGTGGTTGAGGAGGACGATCATACGGTAACACAAATTTGAGATACTTAATGAACCAAACTTGTTGGAAAATGCAATATTCGCGCTAAGATTCGAACTCGAATCCAAACGATGTGACTTGTTACTTTCCTTATTGACCATTGGTAATTGTATCACTTATAATAAAGTACTTGCATTCTTAATTTCATTAAGGTATATCGTTTTTTCAAAAATAATCACTTTAGAGTCAACCTGGTTAATAGATATTGCTATGATCAACATGCTTCGTGAATATGTTGGATCCACTCATACCTCTCGATTTTATAACATGTGCGTACATAGCAATACGTTTATCAAGTTAAATGAACAGATGGACGGACATACTCATATCCCGAAATGAATTACTCTCATCATCTTAATCATTCTGGTACACATATATTTCTTTTGATATATTTATCAAATTTTGAGACGTCTGAGATGCCTTGAAGTACATATTTCTACAATTGTTATCCGAACATGATCCTTCCAGATGATGATATTAGGTATTTCTCTAAACTGGCGAGGATTGTTCTGTGCCCACATCTCACACGGTATGGACTTTTGCATTTTCTTCAAAAATTAGTTGCTAGTAAAAACAACTTCATTTATTAGAGTTTTTTATGTTTAGAAACATTGGTCGGGTTTTGATCCGTTATAAATAAAAATTGATTCGCAAGCCAAATAACATTCATTTCTGGAGCCATTGTAATGCAACAAGTGGTCTTGACCATAACACTCCATAAAACAAGGTTTCTATCAAGAATGATCGAGATAGAGATTACACCAAGTCTTTAAAGTTACTTTTTCGGTTTATTCTGTAACAGATGTGGCCAAAAAACAGCAACAAAATACAAGTGGTGAATGAATTAAGAATGAGAAGAGGTAAACTTTTTTCAATTTGAAGGCAATTTGAAAGTTTTTCTATGTTGCTCATTTCACCAAAACCGATAACGTATATGTGTGTACCTTGGCGACTCTTCGTTCTAATTTACATTGTCTATTTAAGTGAAGGTTCACAAAGTTAAGCTTTTGCATACAAATCAACAATTCCAGTTCCAAACTATGCAAAACCTGTGGTTTTAAGCGTGGTTTCTTCGAACTAACATTAATATTCGCATAAAATCGGATTGATAAAAAAGGAACTTATCACATTTCAAGGGTGGATTCTTACTTATTTTGAGTTCATTTAGAGTAAACTTGTCTCAAATTAAACATACGTTTTAACAGTTTTAACCAAACAAACTAGAAAAGTTACCAACGGTTTCAGAAATTTTTTAAAACCATGAAATATCTAAAATAATGTGATATTTGATATAGCGAGGGATTTCCATCATGTATACGATCGATATGCTCGATAACAAGTTCACTACGACTTTTTCTTTTTTCTGAACAATAATTATTATTTATAATTATTTATTTATTATTATAATTCATCATCATAATGATAATATTCTTCTATACAAATACATTCAATAACAACAATTTACTTATTTCATCGTTTACTTTACAAATACAATAATTATATTTTCTTTAATATTTATTGATTTCGGATTTTTTATTACTTTGTCAATTAGTTGTGTTCAATTATTACTTTTTTCTTATAAATTAGTTCATGGTTTTAGGGGTTTGCATCGTATTTTCTACCACATTTCAAGGTTTGCTTAGTTATAATTTTTTCGTAACTTGTATGCAGTTACTTTATAATTTCAATAATTTATCATTTTGTTGCTCTATAACAATCAAAGAAATCTATTCCTTCGTGAATTTCTGAATTCTTATCTATGTATGTATGTTAAAAATTTTTTTTAAACAATATTGTTCTCTTTTATTCCACTTCGCACCAATATGCAATTTTTTCCCATTGAAATTCCTTTATAAGTTTCTTATATGCAGTGTTATATTAAATATATTCTGTATTTTTTTGTTGTGAATAAATTTTGACCATTTTCCTTTTAATTTATTCGACCTACGACAGTTGACCTGTCTGTGTTAAGGATATAAAATTTAATTTTACATTAAGTTTAATTGCCTAAATCGTGTTTACTTCAAGGAAATTTACGTTTGTTTGCATTGTAATTATCGATTCAATTTCTGATATACAAATGTGCATATGTATTCAATTTCAATATCAGTTAATTAACTTACTGATCGGATCCGCTTTCTGATAATATGTTTGTGTTTAATTTGTTCCGTGCGTATGTGTATATATACCTACAAGTATATATACATATATGTATGTGGTTGTGTGTTTCGTCATTGAATTAACTTAATTTAAAATTAAGTTTAAGTAGAAATAATTTTATAATTACAATATAATAACATTGCCAGCAGTGTATGCTGATAGATATAAAAACAAAATTATTGTTTGTGTATTATCGAAAGTGCAATTTGACGGTCGCTTCCTAAACGACTCATTCTTTCATTTAGCATCCTCCGTGCTACCATTTTATTCACCAAAATTTCTTTTATTACTCGTACATATAGGTACGTATGTAGTAGTCGGCCCAATCGTAGTTAATCACGTTTAAGCAACTCTATTCCGTTGATTTTTTATATATATTTTGTAATAATTTTTGTACGCAAGGTCATTTTTATATGATTTAAAGTAATTCAATTCGTAATTTAACTAATCGTTGACATTTTTATTTATTAAATGACTAACCACTCTCTACCCTAGCTCTTCCCTTATGTCTTTGTCTAAACCTTTAAATCTAATAACCTAAAATTTCGATTTTTCTGCAACTATTATTACATGTCATCGACGATTTTTATCATTACTTTTTAATTTTAATACAATAAATTAATATTAATTTATTATTTAGGCATCTATTCATGTTAACTATATTATATCAAAAGTTATACAAAAGTATCTCGTAACAAGTTGTTGTTTATTCTATGTCGATTTCTCGCTTCCTTCGCATTGCATTCTGCTTGTATTGAATTGTTTGTGTTTGTCTTTCAGATTTAGCGATCGAGTCGAGTCGAGAAGTCAGTGTTATGGAAATTATCAATTATCTAAAATGGGTGTCAATTTAAATGTCAACTTAATCTGATAGCTTTGCACATACATACTAACAGCAACATACATAAATCTTCAGCTACTATTAAAAGTATATATTGAATACATTCACAAATAAATATATCTAAACCTAAAACAGAAATATTAATGTAATTTTTGTATAGGAACGCAGGCGTATGGATAAAACTATCTTTCTTCAATGTGATGCAAAGTTAGTTTCAATATTGTCTGCTAAAATACTGCCAACAATAATGTTTATTATCAACAGAATTTATCTTAAATGGTAAATACATTCAACACATTAGAAATAATTATTTCGCAGTATCTATTATACCTTTGAAATGCTCACCGTAATAAATATCTGGAAAAAACTCACTAAATTATTGTGATAATTAATTATTATAGTAACATCTACCATTTGGAGCTTTTGACATTTAACCAGCAATCAAAAGTGGATCCTATGCCAATCATATACATACATACATAGGTATGCATATACTTATATACAAGTACGAATGTGTTTTTCACTATTTCAAATAGAAGCTAAATTTAATTAACAATTTGACCATTTCGAGCAGCAAAATTAATATTGTTTACAAAAGAGAATATATATAATATATACATAGTTTGAATTTAAAAAAAAAAATACATGTATATTTCTTTAACTCGCCATGCAATTTACGACTAGATTACTGATTCAATATATAATTTCTTCTATATAATATGCGATAATCTTTTATTGTCAATAATTTATGAAGCTAAAAATAATTAAAAAATATCAATATGTACATATTCATGTCTACAATTCTGCCACATGGACAATATCTTCCACAAAAAATTTTACCATTCGGATCAAAATGAATTGTGGATGTGTCTATATGGGTTAGGGGATCGTATACAGCCAGGGCAAAACTTAAATTTAACAAATGTGATGTCATTAGAACATATCAAATATTAATGCTAAGCATTTGTAATGATTGGGATGTTCAACAGAATGTTAATTTCTGTAATTATATTTCGAAATTTAAAATTATGTAATATCATAAATTTCAAAGTTTTGTGCCGATTCCATAAACATATAATTAAGTTATAAATTTAAGTAAGCAAAGTTAAAAGCAAATTTAATTTTTTACTAACATTCGAATTCTTTTTATAGGCACATGTACATATGTCACATATATAATATCTTCGTATGTACTTTTATAAAGTAATTTGTCAGTTTAAAAGAGTAGTTTATCATACTCTTGGTTTGCAGGTAATTTTTTATTCGTTTTCATAGAAATTCTCTTTGAATCAGTGCAGACGAATGTTAGTAACAACAGTAGCAATAGTATACAAAAGTATGTAGATGTAAGTAAAAGTTTTGTCACTTATTACGTTCACATCGAGCAATCCGCATCTGCACGTGTGCCACGCCCACAAAATGCCATTAATCGAAAACCTATAAAGTGCCTAGCAAATTTCTACAATAAGATACAAAACTGTATTTCTTTACTATGAATCGCCTTAAGGAGGGGCATCTTGTGGATGTACATAAGTAAAATATCTAACATATAACACTGGATATACTATAGTTCAATATACCATATCTTAATACCGAAAATGTGTGAGATCGGTCAACGAATTACCTAAACTCCCATATGCTACATATAATGATTTTCGATATCCAGCACACCTTATGCCGAATATGTCGGTAAGTGTGTAAATCACAAAATTGCGTGGGCATATTAATTAGGTTGATTTTAACCCAAATATCGTGGAAGATAAGATCCGAGTAGTAATATAACTAAGGAGTCTATGACCTATAATATAAGTTAATAAATTTGGTATCTAATTTGATTGTAATCCATTCACGATTTCGTCAAACAATGAAATCGCTTTTGATCTTTGTAAATTACGAGAGTAAAAAAAGGTCGGTTATACCCGAACTTAGCCCTTCCTTACTTGCTTTATATTATTTTCTTGTATATTTTGTTTACTCGGCAGTCAAACTTTTTTACTTTAGAAGAACAGCAGACCTTGTACAAGCAACCCAGTGCCATTTGTCTTTCCCCGTGACCCCATTCCTATTAAAACTACAGGTTGTCGTAAAAAAAATTTCCTCCTTAATAGTATAAATAGTGTTGCACGAGTACGAGCAACTTGGATCCCTTCCGTTTGCTCATCGCTCCCTTTTCGACAAAGTTCGAGGTGCCGAAACAAAAGCTGTTGTTTTTTTGTGGTATAAGAGAACATGTGTATGAAATTTTGGAAAACACATTCTATAAATAAATTTATTACGTCTCAGATTGCTAGATGTTATTCAGCCAGTTTCAAGGGCTATAAATTGAGTTAAAGAAACATAAGTACAAAGATGTTTAAGGGATGTAAAAGTGTTTAACTGCATGCACACTATTAATTGCAGGTGAACTCAAGAGTATTGAATAAAGGATGTTAAATGGACAAAACGAGGTCTTTCAACACAGCCATATACTTACATTCAATTATACATAAGAAATTATAGGTACATGTATATAAAAAAAATGTAAAATTTTCAATTACAGAAAGGATAAATACTTTTGCCAGTAAGGAAAATTCAACTGACATAATTAGGTACATATAACGGCAGCAAATAACGATCGTTCACAATGTTAAGTATGGGTATTGTAATGCCAATCCACCACCAAATTTATACGATTTATGCAGTTACAGATATATTTTCTTTAACTATTCCACACTTATTTTCTTCCAAATATGTATAGGCGTATATATGCATAGGTTTATATGACATATACTATGCCGTTGTTACTTATACATATATATATCTACATACATACAAGTATGTACCAATGAATATATGCACTAAGATGTGTTCACATTACATATATGTATATGTATATTGTACATTGTTTTATATATTTTAATTATAGCTTCGGATTGACGGTGTTTTGTTATAAAATTAATCATATTACCATTTACCTTTACAATAAATAATTCTTATTTATACTTTTACTGTGCGCTTCATTGATTAAAACTAAAGGAAAATGCTGTTCTTATACCTTTTACATCGATTTTGTTTGTTCACATGACAACAATAAATCTCATTGTTTGTTTAATTGTGGCTGAGTCTATTTATTTTTTCGAATAATTTACATTTCTGATAGCTCGCAAGCGTAGTATGACTTATTTACACATGTGTGATAATTTCTCGATAAATGTTCTCACCGCGATCAATACATTGGTCACAAATTTACTTTCAATTAAATGCTAGTAATGTTTTATTAAAGAAATTCTTTTGCTTGTTTATATTTATTTTCGTTAGTTATTATTGAACCTGTTGTTACGAAAACAATTGTGTATATGTATGTGTTGGTATATAAAGTCGCATTAGTACCCATAATTCTTCATTTCCAAAGTTTAAAGTCGAGAGTTGAGTGTTACATTGCGTCTTTATTTAATTCTTAATGTGTCTCTAAGTTGTATTAATAATCATTTGTTTATCATTTACTTTTGTTTTGCTTGCTCTTGTGTGTATGTATTTTTAGTATAAGTTTGTGTTTTATTTGTTGATACAGTATTTTTTAGATTTAAATCAATTATTTTACTATTTTGAACAGTAGCTTTCCGTTTCTTTACGTTTTGTTTTATTTTAATAAAGTACTTATAATAGGGCTTTACCTATAAAACTAAACTTTTGGCAGTTTTTTTGTTTAAATATAATTTTTTTTTTATATATTATCTTCAGTTTATTTCTAACTGTAATAAAATATGATTTATTTATCTATGTATGTGAAATTTCTATTATTTTGCTTTGAATTAGTCGTACTTGTATGTTGATTCATTTACAATGTCATTGTCATATGTATGTATGTATGTATTTATGTATGTGCTGAATTTCCATTCTAACTTATAACGCATTTATGCGCAATGTACATATAAATGTACAAAAATATAAATAATTTACATGATATATGTATTGTTTACGAGAATATCTCTTTCTAAACCCATCGTAACTTTCATAATTATTCGAAAATGACATCCATTTCATACCATTCAAAATAAATGCTCAATGATATTAGAAATTTGGCGACTGACCATTTTAATAACACAGATGGTATGTTGTAATCGGCGGCTTAGAGTAATCAATGCTGCTAACTGTGTCCATCAATGCCATTCAAATGACATGACTTGTTTAGTTAAGTAAAATTTTTCGTCTGTGCAATGATACAGCACAATACACGGCAACGCTTTCAACACGCTCAATTTTTGAAATGTGGATTAAACATAAGTAGCATAATCGGTGAAATATATACCAAGTAAAATTTAAATTTGTGTGTACTTATGCTATTTCTTCAACTCATCCTATTAGTATTAGGCTTAGGTTTTTTTTCTTGAAAACGCTTCAAAATATCATGTTCAGAAAAAATCAAGTGAAGTAAACATCATATAGTGATTCGAAATTCAAATATTTAATTCCTCAAGCGCTCCGCGCATTTACCTTTACATTTGTTAAAAATAAATTTATAAATCGAAAGGATCAATATAATCTAATTCTTAAACCAAATATTATTGCTTGAGAAATTCGAACTCACATTTATCGGCTTTCCCATAAGTTGTTTCTTTAAACCTTATATTCCAACTATGAACGGTCAGTTTAGTGTACCATGAGTTTATACTACAGTTCATTGTAAAATATGTGCCATAGATATATTTCAAACACGAGTATACTATTAAAGTTGGAAAAAATCAAAGTAGGCAATGATAATAGAATACTAAACAATTAAGAAAATTTTTGTTGCATATTTGTATACAAATTCAAAATTCAAATTTCCGAACATATTGTAAATATTCATTTGAACTGAGAGCAATTGCAAGCGTCCATAGTATTTCTAAACGAAAAAAGTTGTCGCATAAAAGCAAGTCGGCGCCCTTTGCCTTTTCTCGTCGGCCCTCGCCAACAATGTATGTAGTTTGGGGAAAAAAGTCTTCGTCTGTAAACACTCACAATGGGCACAAACGTAGTTTTAGAAGCAGCGTTTATCCTTTTTGACATGTTATATATGATATAAATATGTAATATTATATTGTAATTGCATATTCGATGACAATTACAAAACTGTTGATTTTACAAATTTATGTCTTTATATGTGCTTGTATGGAAAAAATGCAACGAGCTGACTAACTGGGTTGTAATTCCTCTTTGAGAAATTTGACTGCCCGAATGATGCGATGTTATACATGTACATATGTATATACAAAAAACCAACTATAACAATGTATTGCAGAAGATTTGAAAAAAATCATTTGATAATTGGGGAGGTGGCTAAATTATCTCTTGTAGTAATAAAATACGGAAAGACACGCCGATTGCGGAGCCGATTCTGGTTTTTTTTGGCAGAAACTGTAAACATATCTGAGAGAAACGCATTTCATGAATATACATATGTAGCGTATATATATGTATATAATCTCCAGTATTTCCTTGTTGCCTTATGTTGTAGGCAACCATCAATGCTTCGTACAACAATTTTTCCCTCAAATACTCACTGTGCTTGGATAACTTAAGTTTAAAGAACAAAGTCAGAAGTGTGACGAAAAGATGTTCAAACTGGCGTGGAAATGTAAAAATGTGAAATCTAGTGAAGAGTTTTAAGAAAAGTACCACGCAATGCAAATCTTGCAAATGCTCGGAATGTACACAAATTTGTTGAAATTTCGCTCTTATGTTAGCTGAGACATTAAACGCTGTTTCTTTTAAAAGCCAGCACGAGAAACTATAATATGACAAGGGATTTACGCTGAGTAGACCATGCCCATGGGGACCACCACCATCGCCGCCACCAATCATTGATATTGAAATTATAGTAGTAAATGATCTGATAATTTGTTTCTGCATTATTAAAATAAACTCTGTCAATGCTATTCTTATTATTATTAGACTTACTATTGTTAGTGTAATTGTAATAATTTATGTTTTCTTTTGTTTTTGGGTTATTATTTGAATTTGATGTTGGTATTTCAATTACACCATTATTATGATAATTAGTATAGTCTGTGTTGGTAGCAATATTAAAATTTCTAATTTTACTACTCTTTTTCCTACGATAGATTTTAGTATTACTATTAAAATACAATTGGCTATTTAATCTATAAGTAATTTTATTATTATTTCCTATATTCATCTGAACATAATTACACCTTACATAGCCCCTGTACTTAGTACTACGAATGTAATTCTCATTTAATCCCTTCAATACACCATATTCTGCACGGAACGCTATTTTCTTCCCATTCCCTTCAATATTTGCAGTTTTATTTACGCTTGCGGATCTATTTGGATTTTGATGTCCATTTAATTCTTGGTTTCTTTGCTTATTTTCTTTTAAACTTTTACTCTTGGTTCTACCTCTTTCAAGTTTTTTCTCAATGCAACAATGTATAAGTCTGCCACATTCATGGACGCTATGACGGATGTTTCTCGTACTGATTTCGTAAATATCACTACTTATATAGAGTATGGTGGGTTCTGTGAAATTTTCCAACGAACTGATGGTCCAGGCTATTTTTTTAATTCTTTGCTTTATGGCGGAATGATCAGCCAAATAAATGAATTCATTTGTTGCAAATATAGCTGCAGAAAGTTTGTACCTCACCCTAGATGGAGAACCCCCGATATAAAAATGTTTTGAACTATGCAGTATGTATTTGCGCAGTTTTTGATTCGGGTGTGTCTGACTTTTTAACTGAATTGCGGCAGTTTGACTCGTCAGCAAACACAGCATTGCGCTGAGCAATAACAGCATGTGGTGTCCACTTACATCTTTTGGTACTGTCTTTTGTTGTAAGCGGATGGTTACCGCCGATGAGGCGTAATACGGTATGGAACAGCGACTTGTCACCGACGGTACTGGTGGGCAATCGTCCGAGATCGCGGCTTTAGGCATATCGGCCGTGTTCTCATCGTAGTAATAGATGCCATCATAGAGGGCATAATATAGTAAACGATCGATTTGGCCACTTACGACTGTTGCTGTACTATTTTTTAGTGCAATTGATATGCTGGCAGCCAATTTATTCGTCGAGTCTTTCGCCAAGGTTGCTTCCAAACGAGAATCCAATTGATACTGACCAGTCGCTGTTAGCGTGATATTGTGTAAACGTGGAGTTGAACTTACAATCGGAGAAAAATTCCCTTTATCTTGTATGAACTCATTGCAGTAGGCACAAATTCCATCTGCGATGTTATTACAGTAGCTATAACAGCATTCGGCAGGTCCATAGCTTGATTTACGCAGTTGTTCACCAGTTTCTGGTATGCTCTGATCTGAAAAATAACTTTAAATTGGTAGCCCATGGAAAGCAAATAATTCACAGCTAACATTACCCAAACAAAGAAATGTTGGTTCGCCGGCGTATTGTGTAGGCAGCGCTGGAGCTCGATCAGCTGGAAGCAGATATGGGCACTTCTGCTCTACCGTTTGGCAGACACTTAGGCAGGGTCGTATTCTTTTACGCTTTCGGAATATCACCTTTCGTTTAGATCTAAAAAAAAACAAAGTTGACTTTCTTAATTAAAAAATATTAGTACATCAACATATTCACATATATATTTAAATTTAAAATTCCCATTAATAAAAATATTACCATTTCCGATTTGCCTTTAGCAATTTTTGTAGAAATATGGTGTGCTATGGACTAAAACCAATATAATCACAACTTACCGTTTAATTATTTTTGATATCACTGGATCCTCATTATATGGATCCGCATTAATGGCAGTCGATATGAAGATATTGGATTGTTTAAGTTGTTGTGAACGCACTTGTTGCCTCTGTTGCGGTTGATGTTGGTGCCGGTTGCATTTATCATCCATATTTCGTTTACTCCGTTTCCAAACCGTAGACGTGAGGTTTCTTCTTGGTACGACTATATTGTTCTCGATCGAAGATGTATTTAAAAATGCCAGATTTTGGTTAAATTGGCGTTTGGTTCGTTGTGCTGAACCCCTATTTGAATTTGCAAAGTCTTTCAATTCATTCTGGTAATTTAGGTTAGGAAGCAATAAACTAGTTTTATTGATAGTAATGTCCTTAACTAAAGTTTGATTACTCGTTTTTTTGTTTATTATGTTACTTTTGCTGCTGTTTCGATTATTGTTATAACTTGGGGATATAGAAATGTCACCTTCTTCAGCAAAATATGGTACCAAGGTGCTACAAACCCAACGCCGGTAAGACTCCTGTAAATATATACATTGGTTTAATTTGTACATTTAAGTAGATTTAATACCTATATACAGGGTGTCAAAATCCGGGTTACTTAACGGTCATATATTGTATATACATAGGAGGTAAGGGGGTATTCTGAGGGCGTTTAGAAATTTAAGAAAATCGATTTTTTTTTTTCGTGCATTTTATTGTAGTATAACCCTTTAAGAATATGTCCCTACACAGGTTTTTTGAAATTTCAATTATTTTCGGAGTTACAGCTCATTTTGTGATGCGCCGCCAAAATCGACTACTTGTTTAGAAAGGATGTGCATGATATCTCAAGTTCTACTCAATCGATTAATTGAAAATACAGAGCTTCTTTATACATTATGCTATCGCACTACGAGAGGATATTAAAAAAAATTTTATTATATTTTTAAAAAATTCCGAACGGCAAAAACGCGGAAATAATAAAACATATTTTTCCGGCATTTTGTGAAATTTTTTTTTTCAAAAATCCTCTTGTAGTGCTTTAACTAAATAATTCCTCTTTAAGGATCACTCAACAATTTCTATTTCGGGTTACTAGGAATCCTGATATCCTGCATACCAGGACACGCAATTTTTTTTCAGTCTGGAATTTCTATTTTTTTTTTTAAATATTATAAATGATTTGTACTCTATATCAATAAAAAACATATAAAAAATGTATGGTAAACATATTTCTTGTTTTTTTTTTTATCGGGTCCCCTCTTAAATCTTTGCCTGTATACGTAATAGAAGAAGTAAGTAAAAACCTATATCAGGTTTGGAAACTATTGTGCAAAGTTTGACCTGAACTTACGTGAGTCCCAAGGAATGATAACTCAAATAATACTAAAGCTTCCTGCTGAGCTGATGACCACTACAAGTTGGACCGTAAGACGAACAGATAGATGCGTACAAATATTTTTGGTATGATTTCTGTTATTCAGGGGTGTTGTAGAATCTGATAGTTGTCAGAATCAGAATTGAAACCGATAAAAAAATGTAGTAGGTGTCATGAATTCAGATATTATTGGTTTGAAGTTCGAAACAGAATTTGTGTCGGTTTTGGGTGTCACGGAAACCAATATTATCGGTTTTGTTATCAGAAACAAAGCAAGAGGATTTTTGCTGACAGATTTAAAATGTAAGTTAAGAAAATAATTTATATTATTGTTAAGATTTAATTTATCGTTATTTCTATAGGGGAAAACATAAGAATAAAACAAAAAATGTCATAATTATCGAGTTTATGGAAAAAATCAAGATATTTTAAGAAAATTCACAAAACGTAACAAACATAATTTAACACCCAAATGCGCCTTTATTCAGTCGATAATGTGATATAAATCTGTAAAGTAAGCATGTATACAAACATACAAGTAAATGCAAGCCAAATTTCACATGCGACTCCCCTGGTGCATCAAAGGGATTACTGTGCTCTTTAATATATTCCTTTTATTTTTTTTGTTGCTTTTTTTCTTCAAATAAAATAAAAGCTAAAATAGCGGAACTCATTGTTAACTTTAGTAGACTTCATTCAGCATTTCAAATGTATAAAATGCCTCGGAATTTATTCATTTGAAAATTTTGTCACATTAGTAGACGCAAATCCAATCAGATTCCGGGACACCATTCAAAATCAGAATTGGTTTGCAATTCTGACAACTACACAAATCTGTCTTGAATTCCACAACACCCCTGATTATGTAATATTTCATGGTACATGCACAAACTACATTACACAACACAAACATTACATGTCGAAGATCCTGATAAATGTATATAGTATGTATATATACAAATCAGCATGACGAGATGAATCAATTTAGCCATACGCGAACTTGTCCTTGTTCCTCAGTTTTTGAGATATCGATCTGAAATTTTGCAAACGTCCTTTTCTCCCCAAGAAGCTGGTTATTTGTTGGACCCGCCAATATCAGACCATTTTTGAAAACTGAACGATCAAAATTGTATCCTCATATGGAAAACTATATTATTTGACAAGATATCTTCACGAAGTTTGACATAAATTGTAGTCCAAGGCAATACTACAATCGCCTAACATATAGTTCAGATCGGATCACTATAGCTTGTAGCTGCCCTACAATCTGAAAGATCAAAATCAAGTTCTTATATGGAAAACTTATTTATCTGAGAAATTATCTTCACAGAATTTGCTATAGATTATTGTTCAAGGCAACGCTACAATCTCCTAACATATAAAACGTTCAGATCGGACCACTATTGAATATAGGCGCCGTTCAAACCGACCGATCGAAAGCAAATTCTTGTATGGAATCTTTTGTGTTATGCAGCCGAAGTTTCCGATTTTATGTATTATCATTTTGAATACCTCAGCAGTGAAAAAATCCGTTGTCTGACTAATTGAACTTGTGGTTCATACTAGTTGTATAGTGGTTTATAACTTGTTTATTTCAATAGAGAGTATATTTGTATGTATATAAGTAAGTATATAGAAGTGGGATTAGTGAAAATAACCAGGTAGGTATGAGTACATATGCAACATAAGAGAACTTTAATTTTTCAATGAAATATCGTCAGAGAGGTACGCACACAAAAATCTATCGAACCGCAAACTAACATAGCACGTGTTAAGCAAGGTCTATATCTACGAGTTTTGTATTTATGTATTGGAATATGCGAGTGCAGAATTGGCAAAGACCAACCCTTACACAAGTGCAATCTCAAATAGAATTGTATGAGAGGAAAAATCTCTTCGTGATTATTGACACAGGAAATTTGGCGGAGAATTTTTTTCTAACTTTCTCATTAAAATAGCGTGGCGAAGCATGCAGATGAATTGGAATTCAGCGCCTAAAGCTTTACACTCACTGGAATAAGCGCATACATTTGCGTGAATGTCGCGGTGTGAGAGCTGTTGAAAGTGAAATAGGAACACAAAGAAATACCAGTACTGCTGACAGTGAACGAAAACGGAATGGAATGGTCAACGAAACATAGCAAAAATATGTTACATTGTATTGAAAGTGCAACGAAGATTTTCTTTACGCAATAAACGATGGGGAATATTTTACTAGGGAAATCCAAAAACACTGAAAAATTTACGTCGTTCATACAAATATAAATAAAAAATAATATATACAAAAATATTTTCCACGTGAATTATTATATAGGTATGTTATGATATTATATATACCATACTTAATGATGAATAAATATGAATATCATATATTGCAGTATTAACCATTATTTTGGATGTTTCTGTTATTGCTTAACTTTCCGCGAGAACTCCCAAAGTTATATAGATACATATAAATGTATTATAATTGGAACAGCTGATTGAAATCGTGTCGAATCGTGACATGGCACGCCATCTTGTTCAAATCTGGAACTATTATGTCATTGAGTTACTATCTATTCTGCAACTAAAATTGCTTAACCCTTATGTTAGTAACCAACTTTACCGACGTCTTTTAGCACGATCTGAGTATTATTACTATTTTGTTTTCTTCAAATATTCATAGTCAGTGACAATTTAAAGAAAAAATAATAATAATAACAACGTAGAATAAAAAAAATTAAAATAAAAATAATATAAAAAAATGAACTCACAAATAGCTTTCTTTTAAGTTAAAAAACGACGACTTGAGAGCTTAAAATTAAATATTGAATTTTTTTTTTAAGCTATTCACACAAATACACCGCGGTACCCGGTTACTAATATAAGGGTTAAACGACTAATATCTAAACGAAGTAATATTAACTGCCCATCCAGATGTCCAGATTTTACTCTTCCTTACTTCTTTTTGGGGGAATATTTTAAAAGCAAAGTATACGTCAGCTGTCATTGAACAAATGACAAAATCTCGGCCGAGCTTCAAAGTGTAGTGTATAACGTAGGGGAAAGTACGTTAAATTTGTATTAACAGCATAGTTCAAGTAATAAAAATATTTATCGTGGTATATTTTTTACAATATTTTCAGTATTCTTTATGCAATATTGTCAATGTATTAAAGGTGATAATTAAATTAAGTTGAAAATTGACTTAGGAAAAAACCTAATTAAATTATCTTCGTAAAATATTTACATACAATTTTTAGAAAAATTTGCAGCTAAATAAAAAAACTTACTTTACAATCTTCACACTGGTGAATTAATGAATACACTTGACGGCAATCAAAGCGAAAAAGAATTTCCGCTAGCTCACAAGTGATGCGAGTAGCCAATAGATCTAAGTCCATAACATCCATGAGAGTGCGAACGCATTCTACTCCACCACTCAGGGTGGCATTTAAAGCGAGAGTGTGTAGGGCGCTGAAGACATTGCGCTCACAACAATGCCGTAAACGTAGTGAACGCAGTTGATCCGCCAATTCGCCGGGCGATTTGAATGTACACAAGTGAGCCGGACTTGTATCCTTCGTATCGCCCAAGTAATCAAGGCACTGTTGTTCCTTCTGTTGCTGTGGTTTCTCTTTGTAATCGAAATATTCTTTCGTTTCTTTGTTGTTGAATACTTGGGCAGCATTTTTTTTGTATCTTAATCCACCTAGGTTATATTCGGAATATTCATCTGGTGCTCCAGTTTCGCCCTCATTTGTATTACTTTTCACAATCTTCTTATTTGCCTGGTTCTCTCGTTTGCGATCTTGAAACGAACTTGCTTGGATAGGTGATGTCGCCAACATTTGATTTTCGGGCTGTTTCGATATTTTTGTGCTAACCGACATTTCGTCGCCATAAATAGTTTCTTTGCTGTCGTTGCTATTCCATTTATTTAAGTCGCGACGAGCTTTCATTATTGTTGCGGTATCATAAAGGTTACCAATAGGTATCTTAATATTTACTTTATAATTATTCATTAGATTACTGTTGTTATTATACGATTTAGTTTTAAACTTCGTAAATGTACTCATCTTTAATTTTTCACACGAAACTGGGCAAGTTGGAGGGCCGGGACCCTCATCAACCCATGCTACTGGTAATGTACCAGCGGAGCATTGACCCTGAAAATAAACATAAAAAAATTAATTTTAAAATTAAAATTGCTATCCTCTAGTTACAGTTGTTCATCGAAAGTTTAAGTAAATATAGGCTGAAAGCACATAATGTATGTATGTGTGTCCATAGTATATCATTACATCTTATTAAATATCCATAAATAAACATACATATGTATGTAGGTCAGTTTTGCCAAAAGCGTATATGTATATGTATGTGTGTACAAGTTAACACAGCAGTTCACACGGTCAGCCAATTCTCACCATCGGTCAGTAACTTGAACCGAAACCAACCAATTGCTGACGCTGCATCAGCGATATTAAGTTGACGACTTCTCACGCGCGTCCGATCCCGGCACGGACTTACTTAATCTAGCCCACATAGATAATTCGAATTTGAAATTTTTCATTCTACCAGGACTAAAATCTTTTGACGGTATTATCGGAAACGATAGCCTCAAATACCTCAATGCTACTATAAACATTCGTGATGACATAATTACGTTTGGCAATGGTAAAGAAATAAAAATCAAGCAGAAACTTTCTCCTACAGTAAATAATATTGACGTTAGAACAGAACATATGACACCTTCTCAGAAATTTCATATTCATAAACTTACAAATAAATATTCTCAGTTATTTTCCGATCCAAATGAAAGACTGACTTACACTACCACCGTAGTAGGCGAAATCAGAACTTCTTCAAATACACCCGTTTACACTAGATATTACCCATATCCTATTGGCATGGGAGAGTTTGTCACTAAGGAAATCCAAACCTTACTCAAAGATGGGATAATAAGACCATCACGTTCTTCATACAACTCACCCGTGTGGGTTGTTCCATAAAAACTAGACGCTTCTGGCGAAAAAAAATTTAGACTTGTAATTGATTATAGGAAATTAAATAATGTCACTATTTCCGGCAAATACCCCATACCCGAAATAAATGAAATCATTGCGCAATTAGGTAATAATAAATACTTTTCCGTATTGGATCTAAAAAGCGGATTCCACCAAATTCCTTTAAAAGAATCCGACATTGAGAAAACAGCATTTTCTGTCAATAATGGCAAATATGAGTTTACACGACTCCCATTCGGGCTGAAAAACGCGCCTTCAATATTTCAAAGAGCCTTAGATGATATTCTAAGAAACTATATAGGTAAAATCTGCTATGTCTACATCGATGACATAATAGTTTTCGGTGAAAACGAAGAAAGCCATCTCCAAAATATTGAACAAACATTTCACACTCTTAAAGAAGCAAATATGAAAGTGCAACTTGACAAATGCGAATTCTTCCGAAATGAAGTCGAATTTCTAGGCTTCATCATTTCACCAAATGGTGTAAAAACTAACCCTTCAAAAGTTGAAGCTATACAAAAATTCCCATGTCTGAAAACTTTGAAAGACTTAAGATCTTTCCTGGGCCTTTCCGGCTATTATCGCCGCTTCATAAGGGACTATGCTAAGTTAGCAAAACCCCTTACTTCGCTCTTAAGAGGGGAGGATGGACGCATTTCAAAAAATGCATCCAGTAAAAAGCAGATAATACTCAATAACGCAGCACTAGAAGCCTTCAACAAAATAAAATCCTCACTTGTTTCAAAAGAAGTAATACTGGCATATCCTGACTTTAATGAAGACTTCCACCTTACCACCGATGCATCTAATTATGCTCTCGGAGCAGTTTTAGAACAATCAGACAAACCCATAGCATTCATATCTCGTTCACTAAGTAAAGCCGAAGAAAATTACGCAGCAAATGAAAAAGAAATGCTGGCGATAATATGGGCACTTAATAGTTTCAGAAGTTATTTGTATGGTTTACCCAAAGTAATAATTTTCACAGATCACCAACCCTTAACCTATGCATTGAGTAATAAAAACTATAACGGAAAAATGAAAAGATGGAAATGCATCCTCGAAGAGTACAACTTCGAAATGAACTACATACCAGGAACGACAAGCACGGTAGCCGACGCGCTATCGAGACCTCCACAGGCTGACGTTAACCCTCTAACGACTACTGTCCATAGCGACGAAAGTTCCGCACATCGGCTTATCCCAGCCACAGAAGCACCAATAAATGCCTTCAAAAACCAGCTATTCATATTACTTGGTGTCGAAGACAACTATACATTCGAAATACCATTTCCCAGTTTTCACAGACACACAATTACCAAACGAGACTATTCAACACAGGACATTACAGACATCTTCAAACGACACCTTGACCCAGCATTAGTCAATGGACTATACACCACAGAAAGCTTAATGGGGAAAATTCAAGAAATATACCCACTTCACTTTGCAAATATAAAAATTCGATTTACACAATCTCTACTACAGGATATCGTGTCACACACAGAACAGGAAGAAATAATTATTAGGGAACATCAAAGAGCACGTAGAAATAGTCGCGAAAATAAAACGCAAATATTACGGAAATTTTACTTTCCAAGTATGCATTCTAAAATTGAAAAAATAGTTAGACAATGTTCCATATGTTGCGAGCATAAATATGACAGACATCCTACAAAACCACAGATACAAAACACTCCCATTCCGAAGTTTCCAAGAGAAATTGTTCATATCGACATTTACTCGACAGAAAAAAGGCTAATACTCACGGCCATTGATAAATTTTCCAAATACGCACAGGTCAAAATTATACAGTCTAAAGCAATAGAACATATTAAAAACCCAATACGAGAATTAATGATCGCTTTCGGTATACCAAAACAAGTTATAGTAGATAATGAAAAATCTCTTAATTCTGCCACAATATCAACCTTACTCAAAGACCAAATGTCTATAAATGTTTATACCACACCACCCTACAGTAGCACCAGCAACGGACAAGTTGAAAGATTCCATAGCACCCTTTCCGAAATTATGAGATGCTTAAAAGCTAACAATATAGGAATCACATTCGAAGAACTATTATTCAAATCGGTGCAAGAATACAATGCATCAATACACTCAACAACCAAAAATAAACCTTTAGCCACATTCTTTGGAAATAGAATTTTTACAGACCCCCAACACTTAGAAGAGCAAAGGAACGAAATTACTAGATTACTCAGGAAAAAACAGGAACAAGATCTTGCTTATCACAACAGTAAAAGAACAGAACCTAAAGATTCCCCTTCAGGTGATATAATATACGCGAAAAAAAATAACAGAATTGGTTCAAAATTAACAAAAAAATTTAGAAAAGAAATAGTATCCGAAAACAACTATTACAAAACTTATAATTATTTCCACTGCAATTACGTCTTTACAAGCAGATGTAAAAATTTTGGATTACAGTAAGGCTCAACTTGTTACAATAGACAACGGAAATGCAAAAATACATGACGGTACCCTAAGACTGATACACCTCATTGACCTAGACCGTTACGAACATTTCTTAAGACAAACTTATGACGAAATAACGACACAAGTCCCTATAGATCATTTCCTTTATCCTATCCTCCAACACGAAACCACCCAAACATTCGAAATCCTTAACACCCTTAAACCCATAGAAAACAGCAAAAGAAGAAGATCAATTGACATACTAGGAACGGCATGGAAATATATAGCCGGATCTCCTGATCACAATGATCTTAATATCATAAATGATAATTTGAATAATCTAAACCAAAATAATAATAATCAAATAATTATTAACAATTTATTCGAAAAACGCATAAATAATATAACAAATATTGTCAATAAAATGCTAAATACTATAAAAAAAGACGAAGACATTATAACAGAAATAATGATAAATCTACAGAATAGAATCAGATTGATAAAAGAGGAATTAATTAATATAAAATATGCCATTCAATGGGCAAAGAAGAATATAGTAAACTCAATAATTTTAAGCAATGACGAAATTAAACTTTCCATAAAGGAGTTAAAACAAGAAAAAATGCCTTTTAAAAATGCCGAAGAAGCATTAAAATTTTCAAAAATAAATGTATTAAGTAAAGAAATGACTATCTTGTACATGATAAAAGTTCCATTAACATTATACGAAACATTTAAAAGAATAATTATAAGACCGGTTAAAAAAGAAAATAATGTTATAATTAAAACCGATTATAAAGAAATTCTAAAAGGAGGAAATAAAATATACGGAATTAAAAGTGATTGTGAAAATATTAATGAACTAGCAATTTGTAAAGAAACAAATTTAATAGATTTAAGTAATGATGAATGTTTAAGTAGAATAGTAAATAGTCTAAATTCAACATGTATATTTACAAACGGGAATCACGTGCCAACAGTTGAAGAAATCAAAACAGGAATAATACTACTAAATCAATTCAATGGAAAGATAGAAGCAAATGGGACAACTCAAGAATTAAATGGAACCCATGTTGTAATATTCTACAACACAACAATCAAAATTAAAAATCAAATATTTGGCAATATTGAAGTAAAATCAATTGAAGCAATTACCGCAATTTTCCAACCAGCCCCACGGGAAAAAGAGAGAATCGAAATTCTATCATTGGGAGCTCTAAAAGAGTTACACCTAACTAACATCAAACGAATAAATTTCCTCAAGAAAGCTACGTTATCTATTGGCAGTCTAACATCGGTAGCTTTAATTACAACCATTATACTACTAACCTTGGTACGAAGAAGAAATATTAATATAAACTATATCGAAAAAGAGACAAAAAGGCCAAATATTAGTCAAGGAGTTTTCCCGCCGGTAGCAAATAACAATTTTCCAAATCATATAAAATTTACCGATTTACCTTTCTATTGATGATCGAGGACGATCATATTTAAGAGGGGAGGAGTTAATACAGCAGTTCACACGGTCAGCCAATTCTCACCATCGGTCAGTAACTTGAACCGAAACCAACCAATTGCTGACGCTGCGTCAACGATATTAAGTTGACGACTTCACACGCGCGTCCGATCAACTGCTGGCGCGGTAACTTTAGGCAACGTGACCCGGCACGGACTTAGGTTTAATTTAGAGTTAAGAAATG